GGTTTATTTTTTTATTTTCATACGCTTGGATAGTTTCTTTTAAGAGTTTCTCAAAGAAACTAATATTTCGTATTAGTTTTCAATGGTTCTGTACGAATGATCTTCCTGACGATAAAAAGGGGCTCGCTCCTCTTGGAAAACAGAATCTATATTTTCGTTTGTACGTTCCTCTAGGATTCCATTTTGCTCTCAAGACGCTACAAAAGCCGTAGTCTTCAGGAATACGCATAAATAAAAAAAAGTATCTTACGTTTAACCGTCTTACACGTTTGGCTGTATCAGGTACGTTATTATTAAATCCATACGTTTTAAAGATTTGATTCTGTGTTACAATTCTCCCACTAATGTTTTCATTGGCAACTTATGCTGAAGTTTTACATTTACTTCTGTCCGCAGACCTGGCTGTGCCGCTCCGTTCTCTCAGTGAAAATGTACGCTGCGTTAGCTAGTATCAACTGGATGTTTAACGAAGGCCTGCTTCTACACACTAGGACGGCTGTATGTGTCTTTCAACAAGACGCTCCCTTTAAACTGTATTACTTCGTAGGCTGGGGTAAGTATTTGGGTCACTCTGAGTCTTTAAACAATATTCTCCTTTTAAACTGTGTTAATTAGTAGTCTGGGGGTAAGTATTTAGATCACTTTGTGTCTTTAAACAAGACGTTCCTTTTTTCTGAGACGTTGTAACTATTGTGTCGTCAGGTTTGTTTCCTGTGTTGAACATATGAATTTTGGGACTAACTACAGGTTGAAAATGTGGACTACTCTAACCCGTTAGGGAAGTTTCCCTAAAATTATGTTCCTATTGAATCATAAGTTTCAAGTTACACGTTAAGACCACACCAATAGAAACCACGAAGAAATTCCATAATTACGAACTCAGATTCTAAATTAGAGATTACTGCGTGTTGAAAAAAATGTCATGTATCGCCTAGCTATAATCGAAACTGATTAAATCGTTACTAAAGAAACATTTTGGACATTACAATATCAGAAGTTTTATTTAAAAAAAAAGGATTTATTGGGGGGGGACAAAGAAGATTGACCCATAGTGTGTTCCCCAGTTCAACTGGGGCCCCCTGTACTGTGGTTTAATTTGAATAATCCGTTCTGACTACAGAAACTACTCTTTAGGGTCCCCCCTCCCGAATTTGGGAAGCCGGCCTTCCCCCTCGTCCCCCACACCCAAAGACACCCCCCCTACATAATAGACAAGATTATTGATGAGAGCGTTTGAAACTTTCTGCTATTTATTTAACGTTTATTTTATAAAATCTTGTTTTAAAGAAGTTAGTTTTACTGTAATATTGTGATATTCTGGGGCGTTAATTGTTCCAAATTTAATTAATATTTATTGAAATCTGATATAAATATATCATCCATAATATCTGTTTTCTAAAAATAAGTATACCGAAGTTAGTTAAGTACTATACTACAGAGATATAT